AAAACCAAAAGCTAAAGAAAAACAAAACAAAAACCCCAGTAAAGTATTATTTATATTTTAAAAAACAACAAAAAAACCCAACAAAACCCAACAAAAAACGGTGCAGCTTCATATTTGGAGAGCAGCCAGTCATATTCCACGACTCATTTTGAGGGAAAAGTGACATTTTCTAAACTCTCTTTTTCTTCTCCTGTTCAGGAGTCTTTCATGACGTATACCGAGAGGTTACGCGGAGAGATAGTGACGCCGGGCTTTGGTTAACTGGAAACCCTCATGGAGTTGGAAATTGCGGGCTTCTAATGTGTCCTTTACTCCATCAATCAACCTTTTCCTGGGTCTTCCTCTCGTCTGTATATTGTCTTCAGCGATTTGGGATTCCGCCATCGGCTTACTCTAGGCCACTCGTGATTTCATCAGAGCCTCATTAGCCAACAATGTGTCAGGGTGATCCAGGTTTTCTTCAACTTCTAAAGTATCGTCTCAATGGCGAAAAGCCACACCACACTGTGCGCTGCATTGTACCCAGCAGTCCCCTACTTCAACTCTGAGACTTATCGAACAAAACTTAGATCTCATAATCACAACAGAGTTACAACACGACTCTTTGTTTTCGTACCTTGCAAAGGGTAGGTGTTCGTTTTCACAATAGATAAAGTAGTTTGTAGATTTTTTTCTCGTCCTTACTTTAACTTTAAGGAGCATCCAACTCGAGCCTAACAGGGAGAATACAAAGAACACGCCTTCTACTAGTTCAAAATTATTTCAAAATAAGACATACAAAATATGCCGCAGCATGATGAATCAAGCGCTCTCCAAATTTGGGGCAAAAGAAGTTCTTGCTATCGTATTAAAGCTTGTCTATTTTCCTTGAACTGGGTAACAAATGTATTGATCTATCTTACATAGAAGTCGAGAAGTGTGCAATCTAAGGTGGGGGAGGTTTTCTGATGTTACAGGTGAAATTGGCGAGAAAATGGCCACAAGCTTTGGTGACTTTTAAAGCTGAATACTCGTACTCGTACGTTTAGCTTTAAACATTTTTCAAAAGATTCGTCCTAAATTGTATTCTTTACTGGACAGAGAATGTTAATCTTTTTAAAAATTGAGCTGAAACACTTTTACTCGTTTTGCTAAATGGCACATAGTTTTTAGCTTTAAACATTTTTCATAAAATTGTTCTTAAAAAGTGTTCTCTCAGCATTCGGAATAATTCTCACATATTCTTTACCTAACTTTTGACGAGTGTATGATTCTGCTCCGATGACTCACTTTTTGGAACGGGGCGTATGCCCCGATGAAATTGGATCTCTCATTTGTTTTTCGAGTTTCCTATTTCTTCTCGAAGTAAGTGCCAATGTTACTTTAAAAAACCCAGAAACCTATACAGGGACTTTTAATACAAAGAATACAAAGACGGAAATATAAGATATCAGTCGTAATGGCTTGCTTTTTTGGAAAATAACAATATTTAAAGTGTTGTTAGGTTTATATAAAAAAGTGAAAATGAAAATAAATAAATAAAAAAGGACAAACGTCTTCGACTAGGGAAAAGAAATGTAATACTTATATGGGTTCTGCGACCAACATCAATTTGTCAGAAGTTTTGTAAACTGAGTTGGTGGCTTAGACACTGGTAAAGGGTGAAAGAGGCTAATATTGTAAACTGAGGCGCTGATGGGAAACAGAAGACACATACTGTATCCTCTTTGTGTGGCCATTATTGAGGGATTCAGTTCCAGTAAAATGACAACACAATAAAGGCATTATTTCTCCCTCACGCATTCGTATATTATACACCATAGGTTTCCTTTCTCATGGCTTCGTAAGGACGGCTGATGTGTCCTTGATAACGTTACATAAACTATTTTCCTGGGTTGTATACCATGGCCGGCTTCTTTGCAATTGGCAGGCACGAAACGTTATGTAAAGGATAACCAATCAAAACAATAAGAGCGTTATAGGTTGAAACACTGTATATTCCTTGGTTGGAGGAAGGGGAGGGGAAGGGTGTTACTTTGGCCCAAAATGGCCAAACAAAATAAAATTATCTAAAACTTAGGGCCACAACCATTGTGCGGAAACAAAACCCACCCACCCTTTACCCCCCTTCACCGAAAAAAGCAAACTACTTTTACTTTAACTTTTTCCTTCCTTTGATATCCTTAGGACGTCGAGGGGAGGTGCAGGTTTCTGTCCTGTGCTAAGTGTATGGGAAAAGAATGTCCGACCTGTTATTTGAGGCTTTGTACATCATTTTTGAAAGTTATATCCTTATTTCATCATCCTTTCCTACAAAAGGAACTACAAGAAATTGTTATAAAGAGCAAAAAGAAAACAAACAAAAAAACCTTTTAAAATCATACACCTCCCCCCCCCCCCAACCAAACTGATACAAAAGCGCCTCTCAATGAGATTACCATCATCTGGGCCAGCAATAAATTACTAGTTCAAAAAGTAGTTCTAATTGTTGCTACTGATTAGACTCATCTTCTCACTTCAACAGTAATTGTTTAGTGTACATCCCTTTGTGTCGATATTGGTGAGAGTATCCGAATTGTTCTTACACCGAAAGAAATCAAAGATCGAACATAACAAGACAGTTCACTCAGCCAAAAAAGTGTCAGCGGAAGTTCGAGCAAGGGTTCAAATGGCGCTGCAGTCTTTGTTTAGAAGCTCTCTTTCGTTTTTCCAGAAGAAGAATAGAAATAGCACAGTTTGTTAGTTTCACTTTTATTGTTCTTCACACAAGTAGGGTAACTCTGAAGACAACTTCCGCACTTTTACGAAGAGGGTGCCACTGAAATTTGAGGACATTGTTTTTAAAATTAACTCAAAGAGAGGAGTGAACTATCTTGCTATGTACGATCTTTGGAGAAATTCACTTCAGCTGACAAGTGGGGCAATCACGAAGCCATACTTAAAACATTTCAAGTTTTTATCCATTAGAATACAATCCTTTTGTATAGATTTTGATTCTTCTGCACTTTGATATCACACAGCTAAGTCGGCCAATGATTGTGTAGTTTTAAGCGGGGTTGGGG